ATATTTCAACAGTTCTATATGTGATGGCAGTGACACTCACTATGAGTGGATAGCTCGAAACTTATTATTAGTTGTACTGTTTAAGAGTATGTATTTTAGCCAAAATAAGAAATTCTAGTATTCATAATAATAATCGGTGATGGCATGGTCCAAAGCCTAACTTCTCCATTATAAATTAAGCATTATGCCCCAACACTTCAGTGGACCCACTTATTTGGCACTAAGTGTGATGCAGAATGAATGTGCACCGTTGAAAAACTGCATATTGTCTCTGGTTGGGATATATTTATCTTGAAAATTAAAGGCACCTAATAAATTCTCTATATGGAATGATATTCCAAGCTAGGGTTGCAATCACTTGACTGAGATCTTTAATATAATAAATTTTCAAACAAATCACTAACACTTAAAGGTATTAGCCCATATATTAGGTCAAATTGTTTCTTTGTTCCATACGGCATAGATAGAGTAGTCCTTTTCTCTTTTGGAAGTAACAGTTACATACAAAAATTCGTCGACAAATTATTAATTAACATTCCACAGTTGCCATCAGTGAAAAGAAAACTATTGCTTAGGATTAAAGGATATTATGTAAGATATTAGAGATGAATAATCCATTATATTCTCTTAATTCGCAGGTGGTGATATCTTTTTCAAAGATCATTCTGATATCAATTCGACCTGGCACAGAAACTCTAGGAAAACTTCCAGGAACTGATTTGTTCTGCGATGTGTATCAGTATCCTATGGCTGTTAAGATTCCTGGTGTTATGATAATACGAGTCAAGTCTGCGTTGCTTTGCTTTGCAAATGCCAGTTTCGTTAGAGAAAGGTATTTGCTACATACAATTAATAATTAAGTACTTCCATAGTGGGAACTGGGAAAGATCGATTAAATTTTAAATTAATGTGAGAAACATGAATGATCTAATCTTCAATTTTGGTTTCAAGGATCATCAAATGGGTGACTGAGGAAGAGTCAGAAGATGACAAGGGAAATTCAAGAAGCACCATTCAACTCGTAATTCTTGACACCTCCAGTAAGGGTTTCTGACTCTCGTTATTAAACTATGTAGAGGAAAAGAAAATGAAAATTAATAGAATTTATTGCACCTTTTACTTTACTATATAATACATAGTTTATTTATATTGTAATTGCATGTAATTCTACTTTATTAATAAAAAAGAATCAATTCTTTCAAAATTGATTCTACCAATGTATCTTATTAGAAAATATATATAAGACTGCTGGTAAGATAGTTATGTGGTTATTAAAAAAAATTATTTATTATTATTGTTATTGATTCACGATGTTCTCTTGCGATAGATTTGGTGAACATTGACACCTCTGGTATTGCTTCTCTAGAGGAACTGCATAAGAGTTTGTCTTCACGTGGAAAACAGGTAACTTCTTTTTGTTTTAAACATTAAGGTATATATGTAACCAATATAGTGGTTGCTTCTATCGCTTACCTAAAAAGAATCATAAACTAATGATGAGTTGTTAATTAGGTGCATTTCTATTAATATAAATATAGTAAATTTATGATAAAAGTGTAATATATCATGTTAACCCAAAAAAGTATGGATGTGAAAAATTGACACAAGTCCAGAAACAAAATGATGACTAAACCAACTTTTTTTTTTTTTGTAAATGTACGTGGCTATCAATTAATTAAAGCTAGTTAATTACATAAATAATTTGTATTTGTATATATCTCTATGCTATTGTGCGTACCTGTTGAGATAGTGCGTTTTGTTTTGTTGATTCTCAGTTAGCGATTGCGAACCCTAGGTGGCAAGTCATACACAAACTAAAGGTGTCCAACTTTGTTGGCAAAATCGGTGGCAGAGTCTTTCTCACTGTTCAAGAAGCTATTGCCTGCAAGACCCGCTGCTAATTCCAACTATATATGGTTAACGCCTCAGTTTCATGTTTCATGTGTCATGTGTCATGTGTGGGAGAATAAAAATATATACCATGTAATATCTATTTGTGGAAAATCATAACAGTGCTAGCTTGTATTTCCAGTCCCAAGTACTTTGTGTACGAAACGGGACACTAGAATAAGTCATCTTGTGTTGGAGATGCTGTGACTTTCTGTTCATCTATACATGTGTGCTTGCTTAATATATAAATACCAATTTGAAGTGCCCTGTGTAAAATTACTGGATAATACTTTCGGTCACTATTGGTGGAAGATTTTTAAGTTGAAAGCTACTGAATCTATTAATTCATTACCTTTTAATAGCATGGTTTTTAATAAAAAAAAATGATAATGGTACAAATATGTTTTATAAAATATTTTAAAAATACAAAAGTAAAAAAAAAAAAAAAAAAAAGAGATGATGCATGTGGTAGGTTACATTTTATTTTTTGTTTTTTAATCTACATTAGCTGTTAAGAGCGTAATTATATTTTAAAAAAATGAAATAAAATTCTTGGGTTGATAGCAGAATTGAAAAACAGATAATGTACCAAAAAAAGAGTTGAAAAACAGATAAATTTAGAGTTTAGTGGTTGATGTTCTTAGACAGAATAGCATCTAGATTCATACAATACGATGATCATTAATTTTCCTATGTAGTTTAGTGTCCTAAAGCCACAAAGCACTAACTTTATGCCCTAGCTAGCTTTTTGTCTCTCTAACCATTGATTACACTAGGCACCGCTGCACGCCTTCACAATCTACATTCTAGATTTTGCTAATTACTACTACTAACTTGTTATAGTTCTTCTATAAAAGCTTAACTTGTCTAGATTCAATGTATGTTGAGTTTTCTCATTTTATTATACTCTTTTTTCTGACATTGTTAAGCTTTTTTTTTTTTTTTTTTGCCTTATCATTATTATATAGAATAATAAAACTATAAAACATTACTTCAGTTGGCAACACGTGGTGAGCTTGTGAAGAAGACTTGAGTTTGATTTTCGCACAATATACTTTTGAGGAGGGACAAAGAGCTATAAGGGTGATCTTAATTATAATGGTATTAAACAAAAATAATACAGAAATATAAAAAGTTTAAAGGGAAGAATTGAACAAAAGCTTTTTAATTTTTGGTAACAAAAAAAAATGTATTTACTTCGAGATACTGTTTTACTACCATGGCGAGTTAAATATATTTTAATGATTCTCTATACAATTCATTGCTGTATTGGAATTTTGTATCATTTACGTTATATTTACCTTAATTACGGTGATGCTATAAAAAAAATAGAAGTATAAAAAGTTAAAAGGGAGAATTGAACGAAAGCTTTTTAATTTTTGGTAATAAAAAAAATGTATTCACTTCGAAATAATTCTTTTCTTCCATGGCGAGTTAAATATATTTTAATGATTCTCTATACAATTCATTTTGCTGTATTGGAATTTTGTATCATTTACGTTATATTTATAAAAGTTCATATCGTGGATCATTATTTTTTTATTAAAAGAATGAAATAACTAATCTCTTTAATTTGGACAAAAAGAATGTCAAATCTTTATTTTTTGATGCATCGGCAATGTAAAATATTTTATATTATTATTTAATTACAAATTATTATTTATGATAAATTGTTAGCTTTTATAATTAGTAAGTAAAAAAATCATATCAATAGTGGTTTGTGATTGATAAATAATGTATAACTATTTTATACTTAGAGTGTATCACTATTAAATTTATATTATAAAAAAAATAATGAATTAACTCAACTATAAAAATACTAATCTTTAAGTATTTAAAGAAAAGTTTAACTCAAAAGATAAATTCATTAAAAAGAAGAGTTTTATAATGTCACAACTTTTTTTTTATATAAAGAAGGACCCTTTTGGAGGGAAGAAGGGACCAGAATAGGCCATGGGTCCCTCTATTTCTTTTAATGTATATAAATTACTATAAAAATAATTTTATGATCTCTTAAATTTATAAAATAATATTAAAAATTGATAGATGAAAACTATGATATTAATTAAGATTTGGGAAAGAAATGGAGATAAATATAGATACGAGTAATACTACACAATATACAGAAAGAGAGATAAAGAAAAATCATCCAAGAGTTAATGAAATATTTATGATATTGAAATGTATTTCTTTTTGTTGTCTCAAGTATTTCTTATTTCATTAAATCGAAGACTAATTTTATTCGTGTCTTGTGACAGTCATTCACCTAACAAGTTTATGCATATGAGAAAAATTTTAACCGCTACATCAATTTATAATGTTTGATGATGAGGTATCTACATGAAAGTTTTTTTTTTTCCTCATCGCTTAGCCAAATTTTTATCTGTGTCATCTAGCAGTGCATATGGAAAAAAAAAATGTTCTTCTCTCCAATTTGCCTAGTGGACTATACAAAACTTGTGGTCTCTTTTCCAATAATAATATATATTCCCGGACTTTCTCACGGTAATCTTTGAAGATGCAACTCAGTAATATCTTTTTTGAACGAGGCATTTGATGGAGTTTAAATGTGAAGGAAAGTCTCGTATGAATAATATTGGATATGTCGAGAAATATATAAAATGAGAAAAATACATAAAAATGTCCTAAGATTTTGATTTAAGATGTGATATAAACATATTTGTGTGATTTGTTTACTAGCTAATGGTGGAGTGCTCCCCGCTTCCCAACATCATTCATCTCAGCAATTCTTGAATGAGAATGATTGAGTGGTTGTTTAGAGATTATGGCCCATGGGCTTTACGCAAGAGGCTATTTGCTTTTCAGCATCCTGGGTTTAAAGGATTTAAATGGGTGTTATTACTAAAGTTACCAATAAAATATAAGGCATTGTTACCTCATTTTTAGTGGCTCATCTACACCAACTAAAGAGAAAATGCTGCAATTTAATTTGTCTATTTGTGAGTGATTTTAGCTTTTAGGGTACTCAAAGTGCACTTATAATAACCATTGAACTTTGATACTAAATTCTTTTTTTGAAACAAAATAACTTTGACTCTGTTCATTACAGAGATGACAAATGAAAACCTATATTTCCAACACTACTACTATACTGGTAATATTTAAACGTAAACGAGGCTATGGTAATTAGATGTGGAGTCAACCACAATGCATTATTTTCTTAAAATAATTCCAAATATCTAACAATGTATTCTTGCAATTTTTCCTACTCAATAAATGCAATACTCTTCCATATAACAATTATTTCATCACATATTAAGATTGTAAGAAGATATAGGAAGAGAATTAAGCATTACTCAAAAAAATAGAACACAATAAGTAGAAGAAAGAGTGCACTTGATTAGTATGAATTAAACAAGCGCAGCAGAGCTTAGAGGGATAAGTGCTTTCTTAATTCTCTCTACGGCTGTCTCTAAAGTTGTAAGGGATTCTGCATAAGAGATGCGGATGCAACTATCATCTCCAAATGCACTCCCCGGCACCAATGCAACCTGTTGCAAAATCAAAACAGCAAAACACTAAGTTCTGACTTAGGCTCCTATGTACTAAGTTTTTCCTCTCTTTGAAGTTTGAACTTCATACACATAGATACTTGAATGAAGATGATTAATGCTTTATTGAAAAGCAACATGGATGAAGATTTGGAGTCCTGCAGATATATTTCAATCTTTGATAGTATGAGTCTGTACTCTGATTGAATACAAACTTTAAAGAATTTTTTAGTTTTTTTAACAGAAAAATCTATTTATTTTCGGTTGAGAAATTCTTAAAAGCTCTCTTATAATTCTATATGTACTAATTGATGAATTCATGACTACTTTTTAGAGAATTGGGGGTGGGGGGAGGGAGGGAATCACTTAAAAGTTTTCAGCTGATAAAATATCACTAAAATCTTAAAGGCAATAAAATGAGTATACCAGGCCCTTGTCCAGCAGGTATCGACAGAGGGAGTCAGAATTCTCAATTATACCAAACCCTTCAACTTCCCTTCCATAATAAGAGCTGAAATCAATGAATAGATAAAATGCCCCCTGAAAGTGAAAAGAATAGTACATTTTTCAAGAACAGAAGAGACAAAAATTAGAGAGTATAAAGGTCAAGCAACATTCTTAATAAGTTCACACCTGTGGTTCAGATATTTTGACACCATCCATTTCTCTAAAGCTTTCAACCAAGAAATCCCTTCTTTCCTTGAAGGCTTTCACCATGGTAGAAACAGCCTCCCCACCTGCATAGCCTAGTCCTAATGCAGCAACCCCAGCTTTCTGAGATATACTACTTGCCCCTGAAGTGAGCTGTATTCAACAAAATGTGTTACATATCCCCAAATATCAATAGTTCGTTACATGCTATCTATAGTAGAGTATCAATTGTTAGTTAGAATAATTAGTTAGTTATTCAGAAAGGGTGAAATATTGGGCGTTAACCTTGTTCTTTACAATTTCATTAAAAAATACAAATTTTCTTTTCTTTTCTCATTTCTAATCCGGTTCCTAACAAGATGTGTCAGACATTATATGTTGCATTCAATATAATAGCAACACTAGTCCAACCCTCCAAATGAATGGTGGAAATTTTCTGAACAAGTTTCCTCTCAAATGCCAAATCTAGTAAAACTTAAGCTTCTGTTAGATGTCTTGGAGCAAAAGAAAATCAAGATAAATTTTATATTGAGTTGTGCATAACTCAAGAAAATGGGAAATAAAAAATACTGCATACTTGGCTTTGAATCTTTCCACATGCTGCAACAAAATGTTTTGGGCCAGCAATATACCCAAGCCGCCAACCAGTCATTGCAAATGTCTACAAGAACACAGTTGAGAATCGTCATAATTCAGACCTGAGGCTCTCTACATTGTCATAATTTACAAACATTCTAAGAAATATAGAATTTGTATTGAGAAGAACACAAAAACAAGGGATTAACAACACAAACATCAACATGTCCAAAAAGAAAGTTTATAACAAATAGACCAACCTTAGAAAATCCATTCACAGTTAGTGTTCTGTTCCACATTCCAGGCAAAGATGCAAAGCTTGTGTGAGTTGCTGGTGCATAAATTATGTGTTCATAAATTTCATCGGAGAGAACCTATATAAAACAACAATAGAGATTTTGAGAGGAACTATCATTGAGGAGAACACATTTAAGTATCTATCATGAATGTAATTCTGTACCAGAAGCCTGGGGTGGTTTGCTACAATTTGGGCTATATCTTCAAGTAATTTCTTAGAGTAGACAGATCCTGTTGGGTTACACGGTGTACAAAGAATAAGTAGTCTTGATCTTTCGCTAAGGCTGGCTTCAAGCAGTTTGGGATCCAAAAGAAAATTGTTAGATATATGGGTTGGAAGAATCACAGGTGTTGCATCAGCCAGTCTTGCCATTTCTGGGTAACTCACATAGAATGGAGCTGGAATAATAACCTGAAACATTCACAGCACAAGGTAAATGAAACCCTCCACAACTTGCATAAGGATAAATAAAGCCATGTCAATAAATTCAGACCGATTACAGAATGATATTATTACAATTTGCAAGTATGTGTTCTCTTACTACTTGAAGCTGCACATATTATTGAACTCAATTTGTTTCTCCACCTATTAGCTGCATAAGTAATTGGAAATGCTTATGGTAGAGTATTAAGCTGTTTCATACCTCATCTCCTGGGGAACAAACTGCAAGCACTGCTTGAACAACACTTTGCTTGGCTCCATTACTGACCAGAATCTGATCAGGAGTATAAGTAATTCCATTCTCCTCTGCAAAAACAGTCCTGTCACATTGTCAAACTCCCAATCTCACAATATAATAATAATAGTAATAATAATAATAATAATAAAAATAAAATAAATAAATAAATCAAACATGCGAATCATCTGAATTCTGAAGTAACCTTTTAGCTTATGACAAATTGCTTGGCGCAATTCTGATGTTCCAGCATTGGGGGTATATCTCGTGTAACCTTCACGAATTGCATTCATCCCAGCCTACCATCCCCATACATGTCATGACATGATCATGAATTCATGATAGACTCAAAAAGAAAAGGTACACTGAATAGGAATAAACACTTCTATTGACAACTTAGCAAACAAAGGGAAATTTGCATAGAATATTTCACCTCAGCTATAACAGCAGGTGTGTCAAAATCAGGTTCTCCAGCAGCTAAGCGAATAACGGGAACTCCAGCTTGTAAAAGAGCAGTGGCATGATCACTTATGGCCATAGTTTTGGAAGGTTTCAAAGCATTAACTCTCTGGCTCAATGACATATCAACATCTATGTCATCAAAATCATTCGTAGTCTTTGCCTTTGCCACCAAAACCCTTCTGTTCAGCTCCACGTGTTTTCCTTTCTGCATGGATCTACAAAGGCGATGTAAACATTAGCAACTAGTGATGCTAAAGCTGAATGACACAAGGGAATTGAAGTCACCTGAGAGGAAGGGTGGATAAAGATGGAAAAACGCAACGAGAAATGGGATATTGGTCTCCAAAAGAGAAGGTGGAGATGGCGGCGTTGTGTAGTGCATTGGCCATGGAAATCACAAGGGTGCAATATAGGTAGTTGGGTAGGTAAATGAGAAGAAGCTATGAAACGTTGAAACACCAAGGAGAGTGGATTTTAGAAGTAAGAAGAGGAGAATGGGGTTGGTGGATGAGAGTTGGCGCGGGCTATGTGCGATGTAAGTAGTGAAAGAAGCAAAACTATGGAGAACTTCTCTTTTTCTTCAATCTTTGTAAACGTAAACAAATACTTTCTTGTTCGTGTTGGTCAACAAGTCACAACGTGGAATTCAATTTCACCAACGTAAACGTAGACCGTTATTAAAACTTAAAAGTAAAGGAAAACAGTTGTACAAGTAGGTAGAACAATTGCACAGCTGCGTAATAATATTTAAAAAAATAGCCATAGTCAAATTTGAGTAATGTACTTTTGTATGCTATCTAAAATTTAAAATTTCTCATTTTAGTCTCTAAAATATCAAAGATTATTATTTTGATTTCAAATTTACAAATTATCATTTTAGTCTCTATAATTTTTTAAAAAATATTATTTTAGTTCTTGAAAGACAAACCAACCCGATATCAATTCAATTAATCCATTAATTTCTCCCTCGCTTCTATATGGGTAACTCTTTTAACTTCAAAGGTTATTAATAACTTTATATCCTATTTTCTTAAACATTTACAGCATTTTCCATTCCACTTTATTATTACTTTATCATTTGCTTCATGCATCTTGCTCAGGAAAAACTTACTCGAGACATATTAAACATCAACCGTAATCACTTCTACCAACAGAAATTCAAACAGTGTTTGGCCACTTTGTGAGAAACAAACCCCTTGTCCTACATCCACAAGCCACCTTGATCTTAGTACCATTTTGGCTTTATTACATACCATTCTGTTATGCTCCTCCCAAACGCCCAAATTCATTCTTCAAGACATACAATAGCCTAAAACAGTACACGTTCATTCAAACGAGAACACACGAAAATTAGCAGTCCTTACAGTAAATGGAATGGTCAGTTTCATAAAAATTTGGTATTACATTTCTATCTCATTTTCAACCAATCATATTCAATAAACAGAAGTGAGGTCCTATGAGGAAATAAAAGCAATACGTGATATTTGCAATCTTGCAGTAGAGTCAAAACGAATAGGCCAACTAATATAGTGAGATCTTCCTTTTTGCGGCAGGATAATGACATAAAGAATCCATATTTGCACCTCTTCTCCAGGCATCATACTGGATATCCCATAGGGTCACCAACGGTGTACATGGCCTGGAAGGCTAATGATTGATCAGCAATTACCGTGATTCTTCCTACTTCATGCTGGCGAGTTTCATTTCTAGGTGTTTTACGCACCCACTAAAGCCACAAGCACACCACATCTCCACTAATTCTGCATATAAATAGATTATTAGAATTAACAGGATTTTTGGTAAGAAATATTCAAATTGATTTCCAAAGCAATTTCTGCAGATTTGATTACAATTATCTTCTAGCCATGAAGTATGAGTGAAGCCTTTGTTACACAACTTAGACTTGAGAAAGGCTAGCACATACCTTCCTCCCCACACCCTCTCAACACAAAATGAAGTCCAACACCATTTTTGTCTGGCAAGAAGAGAATTATTTTTTTACTTATGACTTTGTCCTAACAGTCTAATACCAATATTAAATCAGCAAAGCAATTAAAGACATAAGATGAACCAAGACTCATATTTTCAAATCAAATCACCGATCAAAAGAAGCAAATTGGTCTAACAGGACCGCATAAGAGGGGCAGGAAGTAGTTTAGCACAAATCAAAACTCAAAAGTCTCCACGGAGTTATATATCTAAAGGCCCTCCCTGGCACCTACATTAAAGAGACCTTAACCACATACAAACTATGCTCAAAGTTTACCTGCACTACCCGCAGACACTCCAAAATCTTGATATTTTCAAGCTGAGATGGTTATTTTGCATCCCTCAAACCAAAAGCAAAAATCAAGTGGAATCAAACTTATATTGGGCCACAGGAGCATAGGATAAGATATTGCACAATCCACCCACAGCTTAGTACAACATGCTTCAAGTACAATACAACAGGATGCAATGATGCAAGAACATCTTATTCCATCAATTAGACACATAGACATGCCAAACAAGCTATTCAAAGGTATACAACCAAGAAAAGCATCATCCTATCATATAAATGAAATAGGACAAAACTTAGATCCAATTCCTTAGGCACTTTCGATGTTATTCCCTGATATAGGTTTGCATTAAAGATCAACAAAAATTACTCAGGTAAAACTCCATCGGATAACAACACCAAGAACACCTATAAACTGTATGTATCTAAATTTTGTCTATGAAACAAGGCACAAATTAGTGATACATTAGAAGAACGCCAATTGCAAGAAAATGAAAAGAAGAAAGCAACCACGTACCTCATGTACGAGTACACGATGCATCAAAGTCATCAGGAGCAACACGAGCAATCCAACTACTAAGCGTCCTCTTAATATCAGAGTGATTAACATACGCCAACTCATACATACTACACAAATTGACAACAAGCGTCTCATTGAGCGCCAGAGTGGGAACTCTCTCAAGCGCACTCTCCAACACCTTAATAGAATCCGAAAGGTCCCTCAGATACATCAAACACAGAGCCTTGTTGTTCACCGCCACAACATCCGAACTGTCCCTCTCAATGCACTCCTCGAACTCCCTCACCGCAGACACGTAATCTTTCCCAACCAAATACACCAACGCCTTGTTCCTATTCACAAGGTTCCTAAACTCAACCTCGCTCAACGACCCGTTACTCTTCCCCTCACTCTCCACCTTCAAAAACGAAACTTTCGCGCCCTCAAGGTCCCCCACCTGCAACTGCATGTACCCGAGCTGCGAAACCAGTAAAGGGTCGGAGGAACGAGAGAGAAGCTCCTTCATCAAGCTCAAACACACGCCGAACTCCTTCTGACTCAAATGGTGCCCAATTATGCAATTCACCACAAAAACCTCTCTTTTCCTCCAGAGAGAGAGGGATACATTGAGGGCGTCGTTGTTCTCCTTTTCCTTGATTTTCTGGCGAACGAAATCGAGGAGGGTGTAGAAGCGGTCCATGCCTTGCTGACGTTGCCCTAGTTTGATCGGAATTAGGGCGTGGAGCCACCGGAGGGAGAAGGGGACCATGGATCCGACCCGATTAGGGTAAATTTTGGGGTAGGTTTCGTAGCGGTAGTGGGAGGATTGGAGGTCTTCGAGGGAATCGAGCTCTGCGGAGGCTTCGTTGAAACGACGCAGTTTGGTGAAAGCGAGGGCGTTGAAGGCGAGGTAGGTGAGGTGGTCGTGGGGCTTGTGGAGGAGAGAGAGTGCTCGCGCGCGTGAGACTTTGTCGATGATGGAGCGCCACGCGCCGCGGTTCGCGAGGTCTTCGAGGGAACTCATGTCGTGGCACTGGTCGTCGATTTGCTTCGAGAACGGCTGGGTCTCGGGATCGGAGGTTGCGGGGTCTGAGTCCATCGCCACGCCGTTGACGGAGGCACGACGGAGGCGTAAGCGGAAAATAGTTCAGTGGAGAAGAAAGGAGCAGCCGTTGTTGGGTTTAGCTGGCTTTCTTGGTTAATGGTTTTTACTGGGCCTGGTCCACCATTTTAGGCCCATCAAATAACATTTCATTTATGAGATTTCTTTAACTACCGAAATGGAAAAATGGAGAAGATAACAAACACGAGTCTATCGTGTTTAGTTTCATGTATCATGTATTCATGTGTTGAATGTGTACTGAATGAGAAATAATTATTTATTGCTTTTACCTATTTTCCATTTTTGACAAGAATTCACCTGTTAAACTTTTATATTTCCAACACAATTTTTAAGAAAAACTAAAATATTATTTAAATATCAACTATCTAAAATATTATTTAAATATCAACTAATGGTTTTAAATGATCCAATTTTAAATCAAATCTTTTTTTTCAATGATAATAAGATCTGTTCCAAGAATACATATAGTTGACTTAGTAATCTCAAATTCAATTCTCGCTTGTTTTAAAATAAAATTTGACAAGTAGAAATTACATTCCACAAACTCATATTAATTCTTAATTGCTAGCTTTAAAATAATAAATAAATTATGTTGATGAAAAAAACAATGACCCAATTTTAAACACTCAAAATTTTATTGAAATGTCATCTAAGATAATTTTAAATAAATGGAGACATATTTAATTTTATGTTGAAGAACTGGTTTTTAAGTTTTAAATTAATTATGATTTTAAGTAATTAAATCTTTGCATGTTATGTATTGAAAAATAGTATATCACGTAACAAAACATGTTATAGTTCTATTTGGATAAATTTATCTAAATATACTGTTAAGAAAAATAAATAAATAAATTTTTCATTACTTAAAACTAGTTTGTTTATAAGTTAAAAATTAATCGATGAAAATATTATAGGATTTTTTTTTATAAATTAACTTATTATTAAGATAATTTAATTTTTGGAAAAACTTATTCAATTTTTTTTTTTTTTTTTGTAATAAGTGTATCTGAAAAAATTTATTTAAGCACACCAATGTTTATTTATGTTACCATTTCACATAAAATGTTTCATGATAAAAAAGTTTCTTGTTTTTAGAATAAAAACAACGAAACATTAATTACTTCATTTCTAAATCAATTTCAACCTAAATTAATTTTATAACACGCCTAAACACATTTTAGTATAATCACTTTAGCTAGGGAAGCTAGTTTTTAAAAATAAAATAATAATAATAATAAATAAATAACCCTCAAATTTAGAAAGTCTTTGTTCTGGCCAGAAACAGGCGACTTTCTGTTTGCTTTCAGAACTGAAATGCAACAAGAGAATTATTATAATCATACTGAACAATAAAAAATAAATAAATAAAAGTGTTCAAATATGGCTCATATGTTGTCTCCATAATTGATAATTTAACCACTATTTCGTGAATTCATCCATAATTTTTAATATGTTCATAGAGATTACTGTAATTAATTCTCCGTGCAAATCTGTGATTCTATGGTCACAACTTGTCATCAAGGAATCTGGGTAAGGTAAAGTCTACTTACAGGGTTCAGTTTGCCTATAGCCCTGCAAAAACTAAGGACAAACCTTGAAAACAAAGAAGATCACAAATCATACGTAAAGTCTCTGAATCTGAAACAACATAACTCATCAAATCAAAGGTTGCCTCCCTAAACAAGTAACAACCAAACCCAAATTCAAGTCCCAAACATCAAGACTACACACTGCAACAACGTCTCTTCACATCCTCTCAATGTATACACTACACAGTATACACTATAGCAAATACCTTAAAACAAAATAAACTAAATTTTGGACTTGAAAAATTTACATGCCCGTGCCAAAAACAGTAAAACACCACTTGTTTTATTTTTCTTATAATAATAATAATCTAAGTGTCTAGTGCATGTATGTCTACATGATAGAACATGCATTTGGGTTTTCATCACTAAACATGGTGGTGTAAGGATCTTCATATGTTGTCACGGTTCCAACGGTGGCAAAGTAGTCCACTCTTCTCACATACCCCGGAGGAGCCCTCTTGTCATAAGCTTGAACAGTGTAAGGATGAGCCACCATGTTGTAAGGCACGTAAGGCCAAATCTCAGCCTTCTTCTTTGTTGACTTGGCCTTCTTTAGGACCTTGTTTGGTTCCACATAACCAGTTACTGTCACTTTCTGCTGTTTCCTGTTTATCTCCACCGATTTCACTCCTGCACTTACACCACCATTCTTTAATTTCATCACCTTCATGTAAAATATTATAATTTTTTTTATACAAGTTAAAAGGAAAACTGAGAGCTTCTTTATGAAAAAAAAAAATATATATATATATCATTTTTTAATAGAAAAACCCTCTCAAAATACTTTTAAGTCATATACAAAAGATTCGCCATATATTTCAACAAGTGCCAGCATCATATTTTTTAACATACATGTAACAATATCCTTCAGTTTACGAAAGAGTTGGCCAAAACTACATGATCTCAGATTATGTAACAATAACATGTGGTTCTGAATAAATTTTAACAAATAAAATGTATGCTTAAGAAGATGTTTTAAAGAGTGAGATGTTATATTTTTTTATATATTATTACACGAAACTAAACTCACATAGAAGCTGATTATGAGTAAGAAGAAAACTGAGGGAAAACTGAACGTACCATCTAATGAAGAGAGAGCTTTCTTAACCTTGAGCTCACAGCCCTCACAATCCATCATCACCCTCAACTCTACGGTCTGAAATTGCTTTTTGTTCTTGATGTTGTACTGTTGATGGTTGCCACTACCCATGAAGTCAGACCAGTACTCTCCAACTCCCATTTTTTGTGTACTTAATATCAGAACCAATGAAATAATTAATGGTTACGAAAGCAAGCTGGGAAGTTCTTGAGAAGAGAAAAATAGTAGGTATCAGATTGATGGTGGGAACGTTGGAAGTGAATTTATATATATAGAAAACCAATGTCCAAAATCAAAAGTTGCAAGGAACTTTCTAGCAGAACAGAAAAAGATTCCTTACTTACCTTCTAATGATCAAAAACCAATGCTGCTCTTTGAAGAACCTTTTTTACTTACCATGGGATATTTTTACCACACATGCATGCCAACTTATACCGAAACCAAAAAACTATTGGCTTGATTAGAAACACATGATTCCAAACAAATTTCAAATTAAGTGTTATTAATTTATTTTTTTTATTAAGAGTGGTCCTGAATTACACCTAATAATTTGTGTGGACCTTTCACCATATTCAATCATACTAATGAGAAGGTTGTGGTCCCTACCTACGCCAGTAAACAAGAGCCTTCGGTACCTTAAAATGGGTTCTAACTTCTCAATGGAGAAAATTTCTACATGGGGTTCAAGAAAGTAGAGAAGGGAACACGTTATGTATCATCTTTCATTCGGAAAGAAATAGTAAAAATTGCTTGTGATTCAGTTGACACTAGACAAAGTTATTTATTATATATATAAAAGGAAATTGACATGTCCAATGACAGCTAGTGAGAACTCTCTCTGATTGAGGCTTCAATTCAAATTGAAGAGCAATAATTTATTAAGGACGAAAGAGAAAGCAGCCACCGACTCCCATGTCCGAATGAACAACATAATGCATATCAGATAATGACTGCGACTGAATTGAATTTGAAGTGCTGTAAATGGCTAGAGCCTTTTTTACTTTAACCCTCCATTAAAATTTCCTTCAAATTAAAGCCAATCAACTTCACATATATGTAAAGTTTATGTTTTACAATAACAAAAAGGTTCGTGTGTAAATACTATACCACAGCTTTGCAAAAGAGAGGTCACTTGGACACGTTGTGGTCACAATTTTCGTGACACTTTCTCATAAAATTTATTTACGTTTTACTTTTAAAACAATTTCCTAAAAGTACTTGTTAATGTTGTGTGTAAAAGTAAGAAGCATTATTTTGTGAATAATTTATTTTAGCTTAATCATATAGAAGTTGAAGTGTCATAATTTTTTTATGCATGTCATGCTTCAATAATTTTATTGGACAAAGAAAAATACCTCATTAGTAATCATCCATTTCACAAGCTACTTGACCTAATGACCCTTTTACCCCTCTTTTTCTGAACCTAGCCAGTTACTTTTACTATTTATATCATTTTCTTTATTTTTTAATTATTTTTGGAGGTCAGGGGTATGGAAAGTATGGGCGACCGTATTCCTGATGAAGAAACTCAGCAAAATAAATAAGTCTCCTCTTTCAAAGTTCTTTTCCATCTTGTTTGAAGTTGAGATATTTGATTCTCAATTTTTACATTTTCGGATAAACCTAAACATTTTAGCTTCTGCTTCTAAGATATTTCTATAAAGGGAACCAAAAGAAGCAGTTTGAATCATTTAAGTAATTCCCACTGCATAATCTTTTTTGCAATCAACAGCAAAACTACAGAATGCCTCAGTCTCACTTTTAGAAAACAAAAGTGGGTGAGAACAGAAAACAGAATCATGCATTATGGTACCACCCTAAAAGCTTAGTTTAATTTGCATAAACATATTAATAATAATTCATGGGAGAAGAAATTAGAAAAATAAAAATCAAAAATCAATTTTTCTCACAAGTTAAAATTTACTAATGTACTTAACTTTTTAAAAAGCTTTTATGTTTAACTTTCCTAAAAGATAAGGTATAAATTAATTTTTTTTTTGTGTGTAGAACTTTTTAATTATGAGAATATTGATTTTTTTCTTATAATTAAGAGCCTTGTTTATAAATTTATTGAAAGTGACTCAAAATCAATTAGAGATGGACTTAAACACTTTGAAGCTCGCCGAAACTGAAAGCCAACGTTGATGTTCCCCGTTGAGAACATGGAGTCATGGACATGAATTGTACTAATTTATCTCAAGATCAAAGAGAGCAAAATGTTTAATCATGCTATAAACTCATTGTGACTATACGAGGATATATCGAGAGATATTATATTTAAACAAAAAGATGATAAACAAGTGTCGTACAGGAACTTAGTGCGTGTTCGATTTTCATTTTCAAACGTAATTTTATCTTTTCTCCCCACGTCCATGTATTAATTTACGTGGAAGCTGTTATTTTTTACTTCTGATTAAACGTGATTTTTCAAGTCGTGACTCCAATTCAAACACGTTCTTAGAATAAAACCTTTATTAGTAATTAATTCCTCGTTGTTGCTTTTAGAAACTTGGCGAGGACACAACAAATTAATGGGATTTCTATTTTTATGAAGCTCATTTGGTTGAATCTTCGTGTGCTTTCTTATGGCTTTTTGGATTCTAGATCCCCTTTGTTTATCATGAAAGGAAGGAACAACTTTAATTAAGAAATGGGGTACCAAGTTACAATAAAAGTCGTTACACGTCTTCTCTGGTGTGTATGTAGTTTCCTTTTGGATTTAAACCTTAAAGGTTGAACAAATATTGAGGCCTTCGAGTCATAATTGAAAAGGGAACTCACTAAGTGTTAAGTATTGTTTAATGTTTAAACTTATACACGCACATCAGTATTTTAAGAATGGAAACTACCAGCTATATAGTTTCTTCTCCATTCCCATGATCATGCGTGTTTAGCTACTCCATTATATTGCCCCCCAACGCCAACATATATATTATAAATGCTGTGAAATTGATGCACACATAAATGCTGAGAAGTTGGTAGGAGCCAACGTTTTCTGTTTTTTTGGTTTGGTCCCAAAATAGTAAATCTCTTTCAAATTAAGGATCTTACTAACTGGTGTCCAGACAATGGTAAACATTTCTCTTTAGTTAATTAAATAAACAAAAAGTTAAAATTTAATAACATGATACATCAGGTTAAACCGTAAAATGAGAGGATCCGCACGTTTCCAACCTCTTTTCAAAGTCCAACTTTATCCAATCACTGAATCACAGCATCCTTTTTTTTCCCCCAAATTCGAACACTTGTAAGTATATTCTCTTTGAACTTTGAAGGAAGAGAGACAAAATGAAAAACAAAACACTTACACCATATTTAAATAAATTTTAATAAATTGCAGAAAGTATATTAGTAGGAATATATTAAAAAGTGAATCGCTAACACTCCATTCTAGCATATTTCATTTTATAATTTTACCATATATTAATTTGTACTTAAAGTATCTTATAAAATTTACGGCATCTCATTCTTCATTTATTTCATGATCCGTCTTGGTAACATAGAAAGTCAGAAAGAAAGACCTTGGCAGCAACATCATTCGTAAAGATGGAATGATACAAGCTAATATTACATATATAACATAATTAATAATAATACCAGTCCAATGAATTCATTTATTTAGTCAACAAGTAGTCCAATAAATTATTTTGTTGTTGACTTAATAATGAATTTAAGTCAATCTTCAGCTGGCTCACAGTCATAGTTGCATGCAATATTTAACAAAGTTGCTCAAAAACCAATAATAATGACAACAGGACTCGGTACAATGCATGTGTGATGTCTTCGTTTATTTGAGAAATACTTTACTTTTAAAATATCTCTCAAAGAAGTTAAAAGTAATACACTTTATGAGTAATTTTACCTGCACAGGTCCAGGGTATTAATATAATTTTCATTTCATTATTTTTGCTTTAATCTTTTATTTAAAAAATATATTTAATAAGTTAATGAGATTAATGGATGGAATTTAGATTTTTCCTAGAGAGGTATGTTAAGAAACATGTACCATTGGTATAGCTTTATATTCTCAACTATTAAGAATTTAACAAATTTATTATCTGTCTATATATAATAGTTTGTATAAAAAGCTACACTGCATATACTATTTTCTCAATGTTTTTTACTCGTTAAGCCAATTGGTTTCTATGATTTTTCACTTATCATAATTAAGATAAACATTACATTTGACTTTCTTAACTAAAAATTAGCATTTAGATTACATTTTGCAGTTCATTTAGTCAAATGAAAAACATTCTCTTAACTAATTTTACTTATTACAGTATTAAAAATGATAAATTTAAATCTGATAAATATGATTTTTTTTATCAGTAATATGATATAAGTTTTTTCGTTATATCAAATATAAAATTAAAAAAAACTACACGTTTCAAATATCCCACATTCAGATTTTTTTATAGAAACTCTTTAAAAGATTAAATGTCGTCTTACTCAACACGACATTTCACTGTTGCAGTACCTATAACTTCAAACAAAATCATCAAACATATAAATTAGTGGATTGAAAAATGAATTAAATTAAAAAGGCAGTCTTAAGGATAACACCAGGCAAATTAATTTACATAACCTCACCCGACCAAAAGCGGGGTTAACATATAAATGGTCCAGTACGAGTGTTAGGAATCTAGCATGATGCTGGCAAGGCTAAAAAACAACAGCATTGGATGGTGTGAGATCTAAAATACTTACATAGCTAGGAGGACAAAATGGATACAGATTTGGATATACATGTAACGCTATCTAGACAGGCTACTAAACATACATATTTAAGAATAAGAGTGCAACGGAGAGTCTCAGTAAAAAGCAGACACGAGTTGAAATAGAAGAAACAAATAGCGGTGCCAGTGTACCCGGCATGATGAAATCATCCGAGACGAAGCAGCCGAAGGTTTTCGGGGAGCTCTTCCAGCAACCGCTGGAGCAACTGCATGCCCGTTGGTTCTTTGCTGCTCATCTGTAGGCAATGGGTTTGATGAAGTCTCATTTGGAGAAAGGGGCATCCTCTTGCCTAGACTGAGATCCTGACCTAAAGAGGAAAATGCGACGGACAGAGTTAATAAGGTAGTAGAATGATTAGAATTTAGAACTAAAACTAGAATATATTATTTCATAAACTCAAAAGTAATATGACTCACAATTTGAGCGTGACCATGCTAGCTTCTTGCTTTCCCTATCAAATACCAAACGGTATCCTGTCATGAAGTTCTCTGCAAAAAGATTTTTTAAGATCAATGTACCCTTTAATACCATATTTCAGAGTATGGGTAATCAGTAGACTTGGACAAGGAAAATATGTGAAACTTACGTCCAATTGTTCCCATATCCCCTTCAGTTGGCTGTATGGCTAAACAAAATCCAACGACTCCCTGCACAAAATAGGACCAGTCTACCTAATTTAGCAACAACTATTACCGGAGAAATTACCAATCTGTTTCATTTTACTTATTTTAAAAGCAGTTTTTTTCTGAAAACTGTTTTTATTTTTTTTTTTGGCAGAGAACAAATTCTATTAAGATTTTAAATGGAAATATGATATTTACTAGAAAACGTTTTCACAAGACTAACTGTTGCACTACTTATGAATTTGTTGAAAGTGGAAAGTTGTTAACCACCTAAGAAAATAATGTAACCAAAAATAGTTACAATTCTATTTTTCAAGAAATTAATGTAAGCAGCATTCAGAACACTTGAAGATAGAGGTAAAGATTCAAAGCAGTTAGAGACTTGAGACCTGTTTAGCCACAGTAATGAGCACGGATATCAAATAAAAAAATGTGAAGCTTGAGAGATGCATAATGATAGTAAAAAAAAAGTGTAAATATAATTATATGTTTGATACAAATAGATTTCGTTCTCACAAAGAATTAGTTGAGAATATATTCATTCAGTGTCGACATACTAAATATAACTTCAAACAGTTGGTACTTTTTTCATGGGTAACATTAAAGGACAGTAAGCAATAAATGCATTTAATTTCGTGAAAACATTAAAAAACAGTCAAAATGGAAGATCAGAAATATTCTTATAATGTCAAAGTTTTAGTCCAAGATCACTTAATTCACACCCACCTCATTGCCATAGAATACAAACACGGGGTCATAGACCACAAAACTGTTATTCTGTTGGAACACGAGAGTTAAGCTGGGAACCTTTGGCAACTCTTGCGAACTGAATCAGAAAAGAATAATAAATAAATAAATAAAGACATCAAAGAGAACTGAAAATTCTAGCAATTAGGATATCATGCACCGAAGACACAGATAGAGTAGAGGGACGAGAGGCAGACAGAGATCTATCAAGAAAACTCACCTGGGTGTATAACAATACTCCCAAGGAGATCCTTCAAAGCTAGATCTTGAACCATTTACTTGTTCATCAAACTATCACACAAATAAAATCACATTAATAGACTGAGAAGAAACTTACAACGATAGAGTTCAAAAAGCTAAAGTACCTCATCAGCTATTGCTCCATATGCATGGCCAGGAAGAAATGTAAATGACGTCCCACTATCAACCTGTGCTTTAAAACTTGTCATTTTAAGACAAGTATTCCCAATACAACATGACTCCACTCCAACAATGTAGGTTGAGCTGACCAGTTGACCAGGAAATTAATCATAATTAGCATGACACCATTTTCTAAAGTATTTTAGCACACTGAAACAGTAACTAATTTTAAGTACAGAATTTCATACTATAATCCATCCAAAGGCAAGAATGAAGTAGACTGTTGGACGGTTGGTCCCTGGTCCCCAAAAAACATTCTACCAGAATCATCTTCATTAAAGCACAAGGAAAAAGAATTGTGGATTAATCCAGCTTTAGCAAGCAAACTTGGAACCGAACTTTCTCCAGGTCCCAAACCCATTAGACCATCTGGAGCAACCCCATCCAAATAACCACCACTTTGCTTCATACCACACCTGCATTCAACAAAACTGACATCAGATAAGAAATCAGGGAACTTGCTTTTCACACAGACAAAAAAATCATCTGGCAAAGTAATGTTGAAGTGACAAAGGACAGGGCAGTTTGCCACACCCAAGAACAACTGGAGCCTGAACAGAAGAGTTTGATAAACTGCCGCCTGACTGAAGATGCAGTATGTCCTCAACTAACAATCCAGAACTCGATGTGTTCTCTGACAAGTAACTGACTGTGTACGGACACTGCTGCTGAGAACTTTTACAATCCGAACCCATATCACACAACCGGTGACTGCAAGACAGACGCTTACTGGATAACGACCGAGACGGACTATACTCATTCAGATCTCTATCCTGCATAATAGATGCCCCATATGTGAAGGAGCACCTGCCAATCAATTACTGGAAATAAGTGCTAAACCAGTTACCAAGCCTTAGCTTAGATAGACTCTAAAATTAAAACCTCATTGAACCATTCCACCAAAAAAGGCACCATGTCCAGTGCTATTATCACATATTCACATTACAGTCGAGTTCAAACATTATTCAATCAAGGTTTCACAATTCACAATTTAGTTTTAAATTGTAGTCGCGGTTTCGTCGCAACTTAGTTGTGGCGCAATCGCTCGCGATCCGGTGGCAGTAACTTCAAAAACCTTGAAGTTGCGGCCAAAATTGCAATCGCGAGTCAGTCCAAGTAACTTCAAAAACCTTGAAATCGCGGTCAAAATCGCGGTCATGAACCGTTTTTTAAAAGCTTATTATCTAGTCGCAGTAACTTCAAAAACCTTGAAGATGCTGTCAAAATTGCAATCGCGATCCAGTCGCAGTAACTTCAAAACCTCGAAGTTACGATCGAAATCGCTGTCGTGAACCGGTTTTTAAAAACCTTAAGATTAACTGTTTATTAAACTATCAACATAATAAGCTACTCCAATCGGATATAGTATTATTACATGGTAAGAGAAATCTAAGAAGAGATAAATTAGTTAGGTATGAAATTCATACCAGATTGGAATAGTAACTCGACGACAACGGAGCACACTGCACGCAATCACACGGAATCCAAAGAAGATCACTCCCTGCGTCCAGCGCCACGAGAAACGAGGTACTCGGCGTTCCTATATCAATCCACGCGTAATGCAACCTAATCACCAGAGACGCGCAATCATTTCATCAGATTCAAAAGTACGACGAGAAAAGCAGAAGAGAGATTATATACTTATATTTCTATTATTACCAGCCGAAGTCGTTGCCGAGCGACATCGTTTTGCTACCGTGAGAAGGAAACAGAAGCTGGTAGCGTGCGGCTCCGAGGTTGATCTTGCGCCTGAGAATGTCGCCGGTGAGAAGCATCTGGAAGTAGCGGAAGCTCCTCCGGTCCGGCGAGGCCGGAGAGCGAACCGGTTTGATTTCATCGGCGAAGCGGTGCACGAGGCGCGCGGAGAACGTGAGCGGAACCGGCATTGCGCGAGGCGTTAGCGGCTCCAACAAGAACAGAAAGAGAAGCGAGAACAAGCGCCACCGCATCGAGATCGAGATCTGGCACTGGCACTGGCACTGGCACTTGTTCCGATGCCTCGTGACTACTGATTAGCGAAGCGAGGGAGCGTAGTCGTGAATGGTTCAGTTGTGTGTGGCTGTGTGAGTGGATAGAACTAGTAGTGGTGGTGCATTTCGTTGGGGGTGGAGTTAACTGTTGAAGTGGTTAATTAAAGGGAAAAGTTGATATATGATTAGTGTTTGTAAATTGTAATGAGAGGATTTAGGAGGAGGAGGAGTAACGAGTAAGGGCGCAACAATGCCGCCACGAAGCCAAACGTCACGCGCGCGGGCCCCACCCTGTCTTTACGTGTTCCAGAATAAAACGGCCTTTTATTGCCGGTGTCGATTTGTCTTTGCTCCTGTGGCCGCATTTACTTTCATTCCTTTCCTTTTACGAAATTAAAAAACATAAATTCTTATTTAATTTTAAAATGTTCATAATTTCATTATATGTAGGAGTACGTATTTTGCAATCTAAATTGTTACTAGTAGTATTTAAAATAATAATACAGTACACTGTATACTTACTTGCTACTAGCTTAAATGATTTATTCTGCACATAAAACAATGTTGTTGTCAACGATATATAGAAAACTGGACACCGTCTGTTTCTTTGTTCACAACTGTAGGTTGTGCCTCCAATGATGAGTAATGGTGAAAGATGAAAATATGCGGTATGCAATAAATGGGGATGTAAAGACAAACCAATAGGTGAAGCTAACTAATGCATAAGTGCTCCAATCAATAAAACAGGTCAGACAAGAGTGGTGGTGGAGTGGTCCAAGATGTGAATCAAAAGTTTTTTCAAGACACAAATATATATATAACGTTGTAGATAAGTAAAATAACTGCACACTAATTAATTCATACATTCCAGTGGAATAGCAATTTTTAAAGTTATATTTAATGTTTATTTATATCTAGATAGTACTAAAATTTATTAGTATCAAGTTTTAGTTAATGGATTAAAAAATGAAATTTTTTAAATTTTTTAAAATTTGTCAAATAAAATATTGTTTAATATTAAACGCCTTTAGTATTAAATATACAAGGTTGTGCTTATATTTAAAGTCTTTTATAAATAATTAATCACTGAAAATTAAACTCATTTGATTGATTTATTGATTTAAAAACTTAAAATAATTTTATCTTATTATAAAAATTAGTATTTCATCTTTTAAAATATTTATGTTACTCTTTTAAGTTTTAAATTTGAATTAAATCTTTCTAAATATTAATTTTTTCGATTTTGAGAAACAATTTTGAACATTTTTTATTACTCAAAACTTGAAACTTATCTAATTATATTTACTATAGAACTTAATGTTTAAATTAAAAAAAAAAATCTAAACATGATAAAATCACGTGAAAAATGAGTTTCTCGTACAATAAAAAAAAATCTAATACTATTAGATTTTCCAGCTTTCTTTTTTATCTTTTGGTAAAAAGTTTTTCCGGTTTTCTAGTTATTCACAGAACTCGCATGTAATCTACGTGACAGTAAAATATTTTACGTAGACGACATATCTCATACTTTATTCGAAATTTAATAAGAAAAACAAAATAAAGCTAACGTGGCACAGTAAACACCGGTCAAAGAAGCATTTTCTAACATTGACTGCCCAAGTTTGATAAATGGTTTCAAAATAATCATACTTGATTAGAAAAACGTTTGTAAAATGGACCCACTTTAATCAATTATCTTGAGAAACACTATACCCATGAAGAATCCAATGAGTAACAAGACTTAATTTTCACTTCAGAATTTATAATCGCTTGCATTTTGAAACCTAAAAATTGACTTAAAAAATAAGTTTATTTAAACACTCAACAATCAAATCGATTTTCTATTGATAAAATAACTTTTGTTTTACTTATTTTTTTATATTCATTTCATATTTCAACTAATTTAAATTTAAAATATTTGTTTTGTTTTAAGTGTTAGTTAGATATTTTAAATAAAATTCACTCAATATGTCTGGATTTAAATAAAATGAAATAAATAATATTCATTATAAATGATTTTTAATTTTATATTAATTATTAGTTGAAAATTTAGAGCACATAAGAACAATAATAGAGTATAAGCACAACTCTTTAGTTAAGGATATTTTAGGAACACCAAAAAGAACGTTGTTAAAATAGAATAATGACAGACAATATACCTGGGTTTAATTACACATAAATATAAGGTGTACAACCCCCCTTGAAGGGAAGCATAAAACAAGACCCACCTTAAATTGACAACGTGCAAAAAATAATTTAACCTAGGAAACGAAGGATAAAGTTACAAAAGAATATTATTTTAAAAGAATTTGTTTGAGACTATAGAACAAAAAACAAATGACTGTGGCTATATACAGTAGCAAGATAAATAAAACAAAATCTAAACAAAAATTCCTTTTTAACCATGTATCCTGTGTTCCAATTTCACACTGAAGACGGAAACGGGTATCACTTGTTAGACCACTGAAATTCTATTTCTAAATTCCTTGAGGGACCATTTTTACTTTCCGGCAACAGAGTGTACTCTCCAGATACGGCTCCTAGCATTACTACCCGATCAATCTGGATTGTCACTTTCCCAAATGAACTCTGTCATCAGATAAAAAATTGAGGGGTTAACGATTACGTGCAAGTGTAGAAGTAAAATAATTGAAGATGAATAGATAGCATTTAGTAGTGCAATTTTCCCACCATTACCTTTCCCATTTTGCTCTTATTTTTGCAAGAAATGTGAAGCTTCTGGCCTTTTGGAGGACTCTCAAAGGACCATGTAAAGCTCTCATCCCACTCCGGATTAGGGCCAGTTGAGACCACCTGATCAGCACATTCTCATGATAATTAGCACGTTCACTTTCCGAGGAAAAAATCAAATCAACAATAAAATTTGTATCTATTCAGCAAAAGATATGTTCCTCGAGTTGTATAATACAATGACAACCACATATTCAGGCTGTAAATCTGCGTCCCTTGCGATTAAAACTGGAAATAGAATAGAAATTGAAGTGAACACGGCTCATGACAAGATGACAAGTGACAATCAAAGAAAAATGCTAAGAACATACTTTCTGGCACACTCTTTTGAACACATTCTTTTTAATTGGTTGAAATTTATGGAAAAATACAAAAGTTGACAAGTCTCACCTTATTTAATGACCCTATCTCTCCTGATTTTGTGATTTGCAATGAATTTTAACCAATTAGAGAGATTATATTAAAAAAAATGTAATAAAGAGTGTAGTGCTAGCACTCCTCAACAACCAAATACTTCGATAACAATATTGTAGCAAACCACCATTTATGTCAAAAGCTAATTTAAAAGGAATGAAAAAAATCAATTTGCGTGAATCTGAAATCTGGCAACAGAACATGTAAATAGTCAACTGGATTTTTTTCTAGGAAGCAATAATAAAAGTCTCTATCCTAATAGGGCGTTTTCTAATAATAGCATGATTTCCATGCGGACATAGCAGATGATATCACTTAATTGGGCATTTGTGCGGACATATAATCATATATCAGTCTCACATGAAACAAACAAGTCACCCATGTCACTAATCCCAGTGTATTAGAGAAGATCACAAGACAAGCTGATAAATATGAAATTATTATTAGAAATACCTTGGTTTGCCTTGGAGGAGTGTTTCCAAGTGTAAGCTTGCAATAAACACTTGGGTTTCCAACAGACTGCTTCATATTGTTACCACGCTTGATGATCACCACCAATGTTCCTGGCAAACACTGTAATAAAAATTCTGCCTTCTCCTGAAAGCGAGGTGGACCAGACTGGATTAAGTACTGCAGCAAAGGAATAGCATCGGCAGCTGCTATGGACTGGGCTCTTGAAACTTCTGCTGGGCATGCTGACCAAGCTTGCCTGAGCAGGAAAAGCGCATCCAAGGCAGCTTCCTGAGTAGCCTCTGAGCCTGTCTTTAAGGAGGTAACCAGATGGGGAATGCTAAGTGTAGCTGGTTCAGTTGCTCTCAGTCTTGGGAAGTTGCTAAATAGAGAATTCAAGGCTTTAAGATACTCATCGTTCACAGTTCCAGTAGCCCATAAGTCTTTTTCAATAGCGGCTAAAAGAATACACACAAAAAGAAATTGTTAGGCCATTTTACATACTGAAGAGGGAGCTTAGCATGGTGAAGCAACTTATTGTCAGACATGACAGACACAGAATCACTAATCAATTCAGATTAAAAAAAAGCACCGTTATCCACAGATAACTTTGACTTTCAAATTTGTTCTATACTTTTTCAGATACATTAATGAAAATTTAACTGAAGATTAGGTGCCTATTTAGCTAGAAGAGGTTATATAGCATAAATAAAAGTCAAGCTGTTCAACTTATGAAGCACTTACGAGTACAAGCCACAAGTTTTACTATTCATTTGTTCCTTCCCCAAATATTTGGTTTCATGAAAAATAATCAAAAAGAAAATCAGCTCTGCTATTTTTTCCGAAAGATATATTAAATCCACGTGTAACATTTTTGGTTTTCTTTATTGAAAAAGAATTTGAAAAAAAAAAAAAAAAAAGTTATGCCTCTGCTTATAAAAAGTTTAAAAAAATGCTTTACTGTGAGAACCAAATAATTGATGCAAGAACAAGAATACCTATATCAGAAATGACCGTATGAAAAGTAATAAATACACCATTCTATATGAGGAAAAATAAAGAAATGAAGATAAGATACATTGCAGGTTCAGAATAAAAATAACAAGTATTTAACACTGCAAGATAGAAAAATAACTCACCAGTTATTGCTCTAACTGTTTCACTAGAAGCATACTCTTGAATAGTATGATTTGAAAATAGAAGTTTAATGAACATTGCAGCCTGAACAGATGTTTCAGGATCGCTTGAACCAATCAAATCCAGTATAACCTGAACCCCACCAGCCTCTGCAACTGCTCTTTTATTTGATCGACTGTACATAACAAGGTTTTGCAGAGCACATATGGCTACAACTTTCATTTCTTCTGTTGGTTGGTCTTCAAGCACATTCACTAAAGCACGACAAGCTGAAACTGCATCACTTGTCCGAGCAAGACCCTCATTCTGGAATAGATCACCAAGAGCCAAAGTTGCTAATAACCTTGCTTGTTGTGCTTGGGTTTGTGGATCCAAGAGATAATGGGATAATGGTAAGATGGCTGATTTAGTAACTTTTGTTTCTCTAATTTTTACATTGTTCAGCAATACTTCTAAGAGTCTTGCAGCAGTTTCTTCACATTGATGAGACCTTAGTAGCTCCAAGAGAGCCTC